GGACACCAGTGTCGCAAGGTCAGAAGGAATCAGAGGGATTGAGGGATTCTCAAGTGTTTGAGGAATGGAGGGACACTGTTGAGCTGTTGGTTCCGCGTGTGGGTAGCACATGGTAGCTCATGTGTACAGCTGTAAAGCTGATGGCCAACGAGATGACGAGACTTTCCAGAAAACCACTGGCCTCTTACCATTCTGGTGGATGTCCTTGAAGTCGTTCCTCCGTGTAAGAAACCGGTCATGGGGCTTCAGATGGCAATATTAAAAGGCTCATCCAATCCATGTGGAACCGGAACACAAAGCCATTGGAACAATTCTCCAAGTAGGTTGGAGCCCATCGCTCTTATGTTGGAGGCCATTGCTATTAGGATGGAGGTCATCGCTAATAATGCTAATAGGAACTCCCAGTAGGGGAGTTGTTCAGCGCATCACACGGGTTGGTTCTGTTCATTCCGGAGTTGTCAACATGGAGACCTGTCCAAGAGAGGACAATCGACCTGGTGTGCGTGTCACGTGGTGTGGAGAATGCTGGTTCCATGGCCCAAAAAAGTTGCAAGAAGCTCAGAACGAGAACCCCAGGCCACTCCATGCCCGCTTTTGCTAAAGGTGATTGGGTGATTCTGATGTTCCCTGTGGGTGAATCCCCTTCTGGGGGAGGTTCTTGTGATATTTTTCCTGGTTCCTAGACAGCCGATCCCATGAGACTGACATAAAGGTCCGTTTGGGCATCAGCGTGGTGAACGAACCACGGGGCAGGTCCCTTTTTCCCGTGTTGGGTCTAAGAAACAAGGATGCGCATCGGATGAGAGTGGAGGGAAAAGGGGGAAAGGGAGAACTGCTACGGAGTCCTAGGAGTCATGCGAGTTTCAATCCGTGTGGCAAAGGCACCGCTGCTAGGAGCAAGGACGCTACTAGGGGCTCCTGGCCTTACTACTACTGTGTGTGTGTGCGTCAAGGCAACGCTAGCTATGTGCCAATCTTCTTCCACCCCCCCACTGACGTCAATTCACCCAGAAATACCACTAGTGGAATGTTGGTAGCGGCGCCATACTGGAAACATTTGAATGTGTGATGCTGCACAAAAATTTGCGCTACGGACAGGATTAGGTATATGCAAGGAAGCCTTATGCCAAAGAGCTTTTCTCTCATGCTAGGTTGCCGCATGCGTTCTGATCGTGTGTCTTTAGCCAAACCCGGGTAGAGGGCTGCGCGGCTGGATATGGTATAGATTCTCCCACCGAAAGTTGCATTCAACGTCTGTTTGTGAAGCCAACCTGGGACACTTACTGCGCATGCATGATGAAGGCAATGTACAAGGGACCCTGGCTTGTCGCTTCGCGCAGAAAGCACTGGGTCTTCACATGGCTGAAGACACAGAATCTTGTGCACGGCGCAGCTCCAGCAGCCTTGCAAGTCTATGAGCAATTTAGATTGAGGCAGGCTCACGCAGCTCCAGGCGAGCCATTGACAAGGTGAGGCATCCAAAAGTGGGTGATGCGCTGGCGGAAGCGATGGTCTGTCCGCCGCGGACGTCTCCGTGTTAGAGACTGCGTGGATCCTGCCGATCTACGTTAAAAGGCCGGGATGGGCAATTTTTTGGTCTGAAAAACGAGTCCATCTGGCGGCCTTCAAAAAAGGCCCCATTAATGCGTTGGCGCTAAAAGTAAGGCCGGAAAGCGGATTCACTTTTGGCACCGGTACGCAGACGCAAAAATCACAATTTGAGCAACCATTCACCTCACGCCATCTTGGGCCTCAGGCTTGGACCTTCTGGCAAAGTTTGTCGTACATTGCCGACAAACAGAAAGATCGGAAGCTGCTCTGGTTAAACTTTGATGAGACGTCCGTAGCATATGCGCCACAGTGTCCGACTGGGTGCATCGTTTCTAGGAAGCATTGGAAGGTCAATCCACATTGCACAGTGCGCAAAGAGGCCTTGGGTATCAAGCCCGGTCAAACCTTGGAGCCGTTTTCCACTGTGTTTTTTTGGCCAAAGGGTTGCTGACACGCAGTGACGAAAAGCTTTCCTGTAGGTCAAGAGGCGTAGCCGGCTGATGAAGAAGGCGCAAGGCCTGACGGTGGCGGACCTTGCTTGGCTAGTGGCCCAACGTGCTTCCGAGTGAAGCCATGCAGGGGTGCAGCACTTTGGATTCTACGTCCGGGCGCTCTTCGCGCAATGGTCTCTGCGATCTTGCGACCGGGCGAAGCCCGGGTGTGGACGCATGTGTCACTTCGCTTCTAAAAGAAGCAATGAACCGTTCATTGTACACGCACGCTTGCTGTAACTGAGCTGGTGGCGTGACTTGAATCAAAAAAGGCCACCGTATGAATGCGTGCTCCTTTCAACCATGCTGGCACTGCGAGGGGACATGCTTTGGAAGCTGGAAATTAATAGTTTTCGTGGCCTTGAAATTGGTACCCTGTCGCAGTCACGCCTTTTCGCCGCAGCATTTCGGAAGCCTTCCGAGTGCTAATCACAATGGCAGGGATGAAATCGGCGCAGGACATTGAAAAATAGGCCCATGCCTTCCGAATGCAAATCACAATGGCAGGAATGAAAATAGGCCCAAGCAGTGGCCAAATAGGCCCAAGCCTTCCGATGGCAAATCGCAATGTCAGTGATGAAATAGGCCCAAAGATTCTCTGAAATAAGTTATCTTTTAACTTTTCTCTTTAAAATTCAGAGACTTCTTGGGCCTATTTCTGCCCTACCATTAGGAATTGTTCCCGAACGCTTGGTCCTATGCTTGGGCCTATTTCATCTCTCACATTGTGATTTGTGTTTGGAAGGCTTGGGCCTATTTTGGCGACTTCTGCTCCCTACCATTAGGAATTGGCCTACACCCTTACCTTTTAAGACATTGAGACAATTGTCCCCCACCATGAGAGGACGAACGCCACATCCTCCTCTTACGCGAGTTCTCCGACTTTGAATCAACAGCAAAATCACACGAGCCGCTATGTCGCTGTTGGGCGATGGCGAATGCAGTGACCACTTTCGAGCCACCCTCCTGAGAAAGAGTTGACACCCCAGACCTGGCAATTCAATAGGCTACTCTCAAAACAGTCTTTTCCCAAAACAAGCCACATGGATGTTTCCTGTTACACTTCTTCACTACAAACCCCCCATGCCCCCTTGTAATCAGTGTTAGTAAGCGACATGGTTGCTGTTTTACATCTCCAGTACAACACCCCATACCCCCTTGTCATCAATGTTACTGTTACAGATGTTCTGAAACAAAGCGGCCACCCCCAAAACACGCCTTCAACATTGCTTTCATGGGGGGTGCGGGGGACGTCAGTGTTCAATCACGGAGCTTGGTACTTGAGAAAGAGACAGCTTCAAAACTTGTGACTGAAGGTGGGCTTGAGAATTTGTAATTGGCTGAGTCTCCGTGAAAATTTTAAGTAGCCGGAGGCATCCGCAAGTGTACGGAAGAGAAGGAAGAAAGGAAACATATTGCAGGCGGCTGTCAATTCGCACCAGGTCACACCACATGATTCTTATGACAATTAAAGCCAGTCTCTTTTCCCTTTTCCAGCAACCCGAACAGAAGAAGGAGCAATTGAAACCGGGAATGGGATTCCATGGGGTCTGCGATTGGTGTTCTATATTGTTTCGGAAGAACAAGCATATGTTATGCTACAATCGGGTGCATCGGCGGCCTAGAAAACAAGTCCGCGTTCGCAGGCCTTTTGAGGCTTCAGACTCTCGGGCCCCGGTTGTAACTAGTAACACAACGCATGAAAAACCGGCAGCCACAACTACGGTATCCGCCATGAGCCACTGCCACATCCATCGACTTTCAAAGGTCGGAATGAGGTAGGTGACTGGACACGAAAAACCCGGAGAATCACGCTGGTCATCATGCTGGTCATGCGCCGGGAGCATGGAAGTTCACGCTGCATGGTTATTGATACTGTTAATGATCCCTCATTGATCTCTAACTAGCTGGGGGACATGACGCGCACATTCGATCCAAAAGGATGCTATCCAGCACCACCAAACGGGTGGTTTATAGACAGCCCAGAAATCCCCAAACTATGTATGTTCCTTCCAATAGCCACCCTTTGGGTGGTGCTGGGTATTCATTAAAAAATACGTATTGTTTGTTTTTGGACAAATGTTCCTTTTTCGATGCTGGCAATGACACTAGGGCATGTTCTGAGGACAAGATCCTGGCTGCAGATAGTGTCACGGAGCATGCGCAGATCTACAAAACGATGAAGGCGGCCTTGGCTGTGCAGCAGGAGGGGAGCGCGGAGGCGGCCTTGGCTGTGCTTCGCTACTAGGGTGGAGGCCATTGCTCTTAGGTTGGAGGCCATCGCTAGTAGGGAGAGCGCTTGTATGCGCTTGCGGCGGCCGAGAGGCTCTCGTTCACCCCTCGGATGGAACTGGGTCGAAGGGCCGTCCTTGGACCCTTTTGGAGCGTTTTGGGAGAACAAAGCCTTTGGGCAACTGAGACCAGTTTCTTTGTTCTTTGCGGCTGGACGTTTTTCACTCTGGGCGACTCATCCAGGAACGGACGGGGCGTCGTTCTGAAGAGTGCGACCTCGAGAAAACAGGGAACAACTTCTTGTGGGTCATAAGACATGATGAGCAGCTTCGTTTGCACTGCCCAAGCAGAGCGGACGTTCTGGAAGATGGTCTCACAAAGAGAGCCAGGAAAGTGAGCTAATTACTTGGATTCTTATGGAGGTCCTCAGATAGATCAATTCAAGTCAATTCAACCATTGCGGAACACATGTCTATTTGGAAGATTTTGGGAGATGATATGAATTCACTTGAGCTATGATCCATGATCAAAGTCCACTATAGCATACCTATCCGTATCCGTACTACGGAACCGTGAAATGGATGACTGGTCTTCGCCTTCCGTGGAGGTTAAAAAAACGTCGGCCCTCAAAAGAACTGCTCGACCATTGTGTCTAAGACATCCGCCCGCAGCACTTTCGGGCTCAGCATCAACAACGTTTGACTCGAGATTTGCCCCTTGGAAGAGATGCACCGCTCTCCTCTCGTGGCCTTGCTCGCCGGCTTGGCTCTGTGGCTGCAAGGCTGGAGACCCAAGTGTTGCACAGAGAGGGGATGAAAGTCTGTCAACGGTTGGCCGGGGAATATCCGGCCAGGGTCGCAAGTAGACTGCCCTAGAGTACGAGGCTGAGCTTCCATTTATCACCTCTGAATACCTGTGCTAGCATTAGTCGGAGTGTGGATGAGAGAAAAGACAGGATGTGACAGATTTCTTTCAGCAAGTCAGTCTTTCCGAAAGATGAGGATGTCGGTCTATGTCGGTCTTGAAGACAAACAGTGCGCTCAACAAAGCTGGAGGACCTTCCCCCAAAACCCACACCCTGGTACGACCCCCCCCACCACCGACCCAGTTGTGGCTTTTCTTCGCTTGCACCGTCCAGGCTGCAGTGACGACGAGGGCGATACCTCCCCAGGGCCCACCACGGGCATGACCACGGAGAGCCCGGAGGAGGAATGCAAGGGGCCATTGGAACCCATGCTGCCGGGTGTCTCTTGGATGCTCCGAACGGCGCGAACCGGCGCTTCGCGGCGTTCCGAGGAGTTCCGAGGAATTGGGCTCCGAAGAGGCAAGTGTTGGGTTTTTCTTGGCCCTCTGCCCTTCTAATATGATGAAGTAGGTAGGCGCCTACTCAATGAAGGGCGACTACGTAGGAGAAGTTCGCTTCTAGCTAGGAAGCAGTATAGCCTAGCTCATGCTTCTTCAAGGAAGCTCCCCCGCCGAAGAAGCGCTCGCACTATTGATTCGGTTCCTCTATAGAATATTTTAAATTTTAAAGCAAACTTAACTTGGCTGGCTGGTCGGCTATGGTGTTCTGAACGATCTGAACGTGGAAGAAGGATGAGAAAGGAGGTTTCACAACACTGAATCGGTCGGTCAGGCATGGGGTACTCCAAATCGCTCACGGTTACATGGCCCAATTCAATCTATTTAAAAAGTTCTACAGTAATAGGGAGACACCCAACTAATGGGGGTTTGGCCCTTTTTCCTTCTTCCAGGGGGTCGAACTGGGAGGTCACCTTGCCTCATCTAGTCTTCTGGAGGGCTCCAACATGCTCCAACGCTGTCGTCAGAAGTCTCAGAATCCTTTCAAAGCTGATCCGCCAGAAATACCACATCTCAGGGCGGTTGGACTTCGGGCAGAGGTGGTTGAAGAGGTTTTTCAGAGGTGTTTTGGTCCAAGACCCTTGGCACCTCAGGTCCAAGACACGTCTGCCTCGGTAGAAAACCAGACGTGTCTTGGACCGGATCGATCGACCTGTTCTGCTCATTCTTCTTCATCCATCCTTGGACAGAACGTGAGTGTCTCTGCAGGACGGTTCGCTCAATCAATCAAGGTTGAAGAGAAATCAATCCTGCAAACATCTTTAGAATCAATCCATCAATCCTGAGAAATCAAGGTTGAAGAGAAATCAATCCTGCAAACATCTTTTGTTTCTTAACATCTTTATAGGCAGCACTGTCCTCTCTCCCCACGTGAGCCAAGTTCTGAACTTTCTGGAGGGCACTCAACTGTGTGGATCACCTCCCTAGCAGATTGTGACAAGAATCTGCAAGATCATCCATCCAAAAAAATAACTTTTCCAGTTACAAGACTCAAACATTAAGAGTCTTGCTTGCAACCCTCGTTGTAGTGACACCCCATCTTTGCTGCCTTCGATCACACTTTCTGGTGGAGTTTCTGGGCGTTTCAGCTGGCGCGTTTCGGTCGCTCCCGTCGTTTTCGGTCGCGTTTCGGGACGAAGAAGCGGCTTCCGCGCTCAGATCATGCCGGGCTCTGAGAGGCCCAAGATCATCCTGGGCCAGGACAGACGGACGTGAGTTCACCACGTGGAAATCTCCAACCTAAGAGCGATGGCCTCCAACCCAAGAGCCATGGCCTCCAACCTAAGAGCCATGGCCTCCAACCTAAGAGCCATGGCCTCCAACCTAATAGCGATGGTCTCCAACCCAAGAGCGATAGCCTCCAACCTAGGGAGGTCTATGATGGCCTAAGTATCTTGAGGTGACTTCGGATTTGGGATGATTTGGTTGATGTCATGTGATTTCTGATTTCTCCTTGTGCACGGAATGACGGCTGGCGGCTGGACAAAGGTCGTAGCTTGATGACATGTTACACGTTCATTGCTTTGGCCTACGGTGGCCCTGGAGTCTCATGGGCAGAATTGGACAGCTAACATGCCCTCAAGCTATCAGTTCAATACCGCATTGTTTTGACTTCTGATTGCGCCTCACCAGGATTTTGAGAGGGAACCGGATTTATGGTGGGTATGTTTTTCTGGCCAGTTTGGGACCTGTTTTTCCAGGTTGCCATTGCACTTCCTTTTCTTTCGCTTCTGCTTTAGCTTCTGCTATTGCTTTTGTTTCTGCTTTTGCTTCTGCCCTTGCGATTGCTGTTGCATTTACCTAATTTGTTTGTTCATGTTTTGCTGCTTTTGGTCGCCTTCTCCTGGTGGAACTTGCTTTTTCCTGGTGGATAAGCTCTCAGCCCCCGCTATGCGAAGGAAGTTGCCATTCCAATGTAGCATACCCATCCCACTGCAAAATTCAGAGGAGGCAGGAGCCGTGCAGGTAGAATTTAGAGATTTTAGAGGAGGAAAAGGCCATTCCAATGTAGCATACCTTTTGTAAGCCACCCAATTTTATGTTTCGAGGAGGAAGGGGCCATTCCAATGTAACTGACCAAGGGTAGAATTTAGAGGAGGCAGGAGCCGCGCGGGTGGAATGTAGAGGAGGAAGAGGCCATCCCAACATAGCAGACCTTTTGTGAGCCCTCCGAGTCGAGTGTAAAAATTAGAAGAGGAAGGGGATCCCAGCGTAGCACAGCCGAGAGCCACCCGAAGCACCTTTTGTAAGCCACCCGAGGTTTACATTTAGAGCAGGTAGGATTCACTCCATTGAAGCACACCTTTTGTAAGCCACGGGGATAATTTAGAGCAGGAAGGGTTCTCTTGAATGTAGCATATTCCTTTTGAGGCACCGGATGGTAGTTCAAATTTAGAAGTGGGCTTGACTTGAAGTTTCACTTCTTTGTATTTTCTTTGCGGTCAGCTTTCGGCTTCACTTCTTTGGGGTTTCTTTGGGCTCTGCTTGGTTGCTCACTTGCTGTAATCTGCACATTGTTTTCCCGATTCGTTGCCAGTCACAAAGTCAAGCTTTCAAGCGGCCTTCTCGCATGTTGAGCCCCGCAGTGCACAACAAAACAACAGCAAACTACACAACCCTACTCACCATACCACCCGCCCCTACCTACCCAACCCTTCCCAAGGAGCATTCTCAGCGGCTTTACACACCGTGCAAAGACGGGAAATGAGAGTTTCCTGTTTAAAAGCATGGGAAATAAGAGCTTCCTGTGCCGAAGGCATTCCAAAACGCTGCAGGATTCCGCCTGCGGTAAATCCAAAAGCATCCCAAACTTAAAAGAACAAATCCACTGTACAATTGAATCCATATGTTTGTTTGGGAGGAGCCACAACCCAGATATTGGTCAATGCAACCAGGTTCTTGAGGAGGCGGAAATTGTTGAATGGGGGCACCCATTCCTGTTGCTTTCCACTGTAAGCTCGGTTGGAAAGTTCCTGCATACCAAATCTTGGAGCTGATGCCTTGTGAGGACATCGATTGGCCACCATATGTGACTTGGCAATTCAGACCTGCAAAATCACTGGTTCATGTGGAAGTGTGAAGATCAACATACATGAACATGCAGAAGTGCGGCCGCTTTTTATGTTTGGGGTGGGGCATGGTGGGGCATTGGGATATTTGACACTATAGTGGCACCAGACCAGCGGTGCCAGTGAGATGGAACTCCTTTCGCCAGAGACCTATACCCCAAATCCCTACCCCCAAATACCAACTCGTTGGGGTTTCTCTTCACCGACGATGGATGCGACGACTCGTTGGACCTGAGACCAACCACCTCGGCAAGTGCGGCCGGACCGCGCTCCGTCTCCCGGGGTTCGATGCCGGAAGGGGGGAGGTGGATGTGACAGCGAATGCACAAAGGGCCCCCAGGCCGTACCGCGAAGGGTAAGGCCATTCGCAAGTAGGTTGGAGGCGGCAAGCTACTAGGAACCAGGGACTGATTTCTGCACCAAGAGGGACATGGTTTGCTAGGAACTGAATCGCAATAGGCCAATAGGCCAAATCGGTTGGAGGCCTGAATTCACTCAGGCCTATTTGGGCGTTCCACCCGAGAGTGACTTTGATGTGGCGGGCATCGGCCACGACATCGCCCACGGTTTGAAGGAGGTTTGTGACATCGACGTGGTGACGCCAGAAACTGGGCTTCAGCGGGCAGGAGAAGAGATGGGGAGAGGAGATGACCCTGGGAGAGAGGACAGAAGGATTACAATGGAACCCCTAGACCCTCGGGGCATCCTGTCACAAAGAATCAGTGCTTTATTGCGTGACAGTTGCGGAATTAACACCATGTTTTTTTTTCTTTTTTTTCTGGTGCTTGTATTCATCGGCGGTACGAGGTTGAAAGCAACTGTTTTAACATGTTCTTACCTCCCTGCCAACATGATGTTTGTTGTTTTGCAGGTTGCAGAAGGTAGAACCAAAAGATAGATGTGTTGTTTGTTCCCTCAGTTGTATACTCAGACGTGTTTTCGTCAGTCAGTGGACGAGAAGTTGGAGGGGTTCTTCCAGGCCAGTCGGCCATCCCCCCAGGTCTGAAACAGGATGTTCACAGGTCTGAAACACAAGGATTGTCATAGACCAGGCGCTCCAAAACCTCTACAACCAAATTCAATAGCACAGAAAACCTCGTGTCCACAAGATTATGGTGTTGGAGGTTTCAGATTTCCAACCCTCTTTGACCAGTTGCATACTGATGTGGCCAACGAAGCAACAAAAGAAACAGATGCCTTTCACATTGGTTTTCTTTAGGTCTTCCCTCACCATCAAAAACCCATGGATCCTCCGCAGATCGTTCCATCGTTCCGATCCAAATACTCGCGTTCACTCGTGTTCGCTCGTGTGGCCCCCACTCCGGCGCACCACACCGCAGATCGTCCTCCCTCCCAAGGAGATCCGTTGGGGTGATTGCTGGGACAACGGCGCGATCGGCCATGGCTTGGCCGCTGGCAAAGTGCACGGCCCCGTGGTGGAAGGGGCGACGGGCGGCGCGACGGTCGGAGACGGAGACGGAGAACACCTGGTGAGAAAGAAGGAGGGGGTAGTGCGCCGCTCGAGGCAGTTGCATCATGTGTTTTCTTTTGGATTTTTTTTCTAGTAGCCTGCAGTGAGCAAACACGAAGATCAGAAGATCAGGACAAACAATTGGCAGTTTGGGGAGTCGGACCTTTTCATGCGTGGTTTGTATTAAGTTGCTCTTGCTTGGTATTTGGTATTGTTCTTGTTCGAGGGATTGGTCGGAATCAGGCAGTGTGAGCCAGCATGAGTGCCAGCATGTATTAGCCCTCCTCCTCCAGAACGGAATGCAGGGCATTCCGGAATGGCGGACACTCCTTGGATCGTGTGGCAGTGGAGGCAGAAGGCGGTGAATCCCATGGGTTTGAAACCACCTACTGGAGATATCTCTTGGTTATATATGTGTATTCTGTTCAGCCATAAACACAGCCCCACATCCTCATCGACGGCCTTGAACACTTCTTGACATTGTTTGACTTGCCAAAAAGTATTGTTACTACCTTTCGTTCAGGGTCACTGGACATCCCCGATCCGGGGTTGGTACTTCGACATGCCATCCATGCTACCTCATTTCCCAGTCAGACGATGTTCCGTTCCGTTCCGTGGTGCTTCGGGCCCTGGGCTGCCATGGGGTGCCCACTCTCTTGGAGAGTTCCTAGGTGCCCATGGGGCGCCCACCTCTCCGTGGAAGGGACAAAAAAAAGGGGGAGTAGAACTCGGCCTTCTAGGCGACCGCGCCAAAAACCAGGTACCCTGAGAAGTTCTCGGTCCTTCTCGGTTCTCATCATTTGGAAGAGCCCTCATTGATCAGACAGATGTGAGTGACAGATGTTACAAGGTAGACAGATGTGACCAGGTACAGTACAGTATTAGTATTCCCCTCATTGGTCAGTGCTGGAAGAAGTGGATGTCGACCACGGAGTCCGAGTCCCCGCGCGATGAAGTCCGCACCACTTCGCAGTACCAAGGGATCCACATAGCTTCTCAGAAGGTACGACTGGACCCTGCTGGCGCCCATACATAGCAGTGTCTCCATGCTCACCCTCGATAGGAGGCATGTGGATCAGGTTGCGAAACAAGACTGGCTCAACTGATCAACCTGACAAGTCATGATGCTTTGGACTCAGCTCGGTCTCTTCTCGATCTCTCAAAAGGAACCGTCTCAGCCCTGGATCGTGTCTCAACGACGAACGATCAGTGTAAACTCAACGAGCCAGGACTCACGTTCGAACGGGGGTCGTGCATCCAAGCGATACATACCAGCACCCTCCAGCACTCGTGCAGCCCACGCGGAGCGGAGGGAGGTAAGGTGCAGGTCCACAGAAGGGGTCCTTGCGGACTGATGCATGAATGAATGTCCCATGTGTCCTTCCTTGAGGCTGCATGACTTACACGCACACCTGGGGTGCGCGCACCCGATTTCTGGACTTCTCTAAGCCGATCTTGCAGCACAACAAGCCTGCAGGCATGGGCTGTGTGGGAGGGGCGGTGATGGGTCGGATGGTCAATACATTTTGCTTTTGTGCAGTGAGGTGGGCCTGGAGATGAACACGAGAAGACACACCAGATGGGACCTTGCAACCTTGCTTAACTACCATGTCTCACCCGATTGATCAGGAGACGGGGATGTTTTTGACTCCTCTCGGATGAACTCGGACCGTGGATACCAGGAATCATCAGGAATCGGTGAAACATCTCTGGTCTTTGCTTGCGAAAAAAGATTCAGCCACGACGACTGTATACTGGTATTGTGCAAGATCTACATGTCCGCGTGTTTGAAATGACGTACATTGGACATTCTGCGGAGGAATCCGTTGGAGGCAAATTTCGGAAGTGGACCTGTGAGTGAGCCAGGCCTTCTAGTGAAGCTGGAAAATGGAGTGCCGAAGTCACCTGGCAGCACGGAGGGGAGGAGGGGAGGGCTGTGCTTAATCCGGCTAACGTGCAGAAATGGAGTTGAGGAGTTCCAAACATGTAACTTTAAGGTGTTAACCGTGGTGGCCCGACCTGACTCTAGTCATCATCCGCTGGACTCATGCCACGACCTGGCACTGCCAAAGTTCTATAATGAGGTATCTAAAGCAATAACCTCCCCCTCCCTCCAGCGAACGATTGAGGGAGTCTGAATAGAACGAGTTCTCCAGAAACGTAGTCAGGTAGTAGTAGTTGTAGTAGTAGTAGTAGTAGCAGCAGGAGTAGCAGGAGTAGCAGGAGTAGTAGGAGTAGTAGTAGTAGTAGCAGTAGCAGTAGCAGTAGTAGCAGTAGCAGTAGCAGTATTAGGAGTAGGAGTAGGAGTAGGAGTAGGAGTAGTAGTAGGAGTAGGAGTAGTAGTAGTAGTAGTAGTAGTAGTAGTAGTAGTAGTAGTAGTAGTAGTAGTAGTAGTAGTAGTA